GGCAGCATCCCTTAAAAGGAGCAGAGAGGACGGGGAGGAAGAGAAACCTCAGCAAAGGCTCTCTGGCCTCAGTAGGGCGGAGAGTGTCATGGATAGAACCAGGTCACTCTTCGTCCCTGCTTCGCCTAAAGGAAGCATGGTCCAAACAAGAGTAAGGAGTCTCCCTACTTCCCCATCTCGTGCTCCATCCCCCATTCCCTCCATCTCCTCACTCAGTTCACTATCCACCCACTCACACATCCACTTCTTCTCATCCCTACACTTCTAGGGAGAAAAAGAAAAAAGTTTTACTCGGGCCCAGAGGCCATATGTAAAGTAGATAAAGAGGATTTCAAAAAGGGTCTGTCAAAACAGAAAAAGTCCCTTTTAAAACCTCTGTTGAAACCGGAGACAGTAGAAGGAAAATCGGTTGAGGACCCCCGAAATTTCCCAGGTGCCCCAGGAATAATCTCATGCGTGAGAGACACAAAGCGATATTAAAAGGTCTGGGGCCACCTGTTCGAAGAAAAAGAATGATGGAATTAGAAAATGTAGATTTGAGAAAGCTTAAACAATTTTGTGCAGGGAGGGTCCCAGTTTTGCTTCATCCCTCCTTATATAGGGCTGTTAAACTAACCTACCCTATGGACGTTGGCGGTATTGTCCTAGATGGTCGGATGACGACGGAGTTGGGCACAGGGAGCCTAGGACAATCGTCAGGGTCCTTTCCGCCACTGTGAAGCGTACTCTTGATGCGAAGGTGGACCTTGTGCATACCGATGGTGAGGGATGGTTGATCGTGGCCGATATTGTCATGAAAAATGGTTCGTTCCAAGTCGTTGTGGTTTATGCGCCCAACGACCAGGAGGAGCGGGTCTCTTTTTTTCAGCGGTTGGGGGCTTTCCTTGTGGATTCAACGCACTTAGTTCTAGTGGGGGACTGGAATGCCATCCTGCACCCCAGGTTAGATCGGGGGCGGGGTGCTAGCGGGAGAAAAAACCTGATTGATCTGATCAACGATTTTGGTCTCGCTGATAGATACCGGGTCGATCACCCCGGCGGGAAAATGTGGACGTGGACTCTTAGCTGGCCTTGTGACAAGGTAGTTAGCTACCTTGACAGAATGTTAGATAGAAGAGTCGACATAGATCTGTTAGATTTTCCCACGTTCCACTTGGAAACAAACTTGTTTGTGCCCGCATAGCGTTAGATCATAGGCCTAGAATGGCTGGTTACTGGAAGTTCAATCTGTCTTTACTGGACATGCGGGACTTCCAGGAACAACTAACTAGCTTAGTGCAGCGGGAGCTAGTGGGGGCGGTTATCGAGAAAAAGTGGTGGGATCGACTTAAGAGTAGGATTAGGTCTTTCACCATTTCAGCAAACGGCTCGCCCTAGATAGAGCTAAGGTGAAGACGCTTAGAGCTAGTCTTTCTCGGGCGGTGACTGGGGATCCCCTAGAGATAGCCTTAGCTAGGGAGGCCGTGGAGCGTTCGAATAGCGAGGAAGAGGTCCGTCGAGGTGGCGATCGTTACAGACAAATCCCTGGAGGGACATACTCTTCGGGCCATTGACGACATGTGCGAGGTGTTTCGGCGGCATTTCGAGAGCCGCTTTACCAAGGAGCCTGGTCTTCGTGACGACGAATTTCGCAGCTATTTGGCTGACTTTCCTCGGCTTTCGCCGACTGAAGCGGCTAGCTGAGAGGGAGAGATTACGTAAGGCAAGGTCTACGCGGCATGGAAGAAGGTTGGCAGAGGCAAGTCGCCGGTCTGGATGATTTGCCCTATGAAGTGTACTTGAGACTGTCGCACATCTTTGTCCCGATTTTGACTCCAGTGTTCAACAACTGGTTCCGGCAGGAGTCCCTCCCCAACCGTTTTTCCAGGGGTGTGATCAAGCTGTTGAAAAAGGGCAAGGGTGTTGGGGGAAACCTAGATGACTACAAGCCCATAACTCTGCTAAACACAGAGTTAAAGATTTTGGCCAAGATCCTGCAGGAGCGTTTGCAGTCAGTTGCCGAGTCTCTGTTGGGTCCTGAGCAGACTTGTTCTGTGAGGGGCCGAACAATTCAGAGCAACCTGCACCTGATCCGCACGATCATAGAGGGTGTAAAAAACGACGATGAGGCCGCGCTGATCAATTTAGATCAGTCCAAGGCATTTGATAGGGTTGACTATCGCTACCTTACTGCTGTCCTGTAGGCCGCCGAATTCGAACCCGACTTCTGCCGCTGGATTAGCCTCCTGTATCGCTACCCCAGTGCTGTGGTACAGGTGAACGGAAATCTGTCGGGTGCTTTTGCGCTGTCTAGGTCGATCCGTCAGGGTTGTCCGCTGTCGCCTACTACGCTTTGGCGTTGGATCCTCTCCTTCGCCGGCTAAAGGATAGGGCGTGCAGTCCGGCTCTACGTGGAATCGCCGTTCCGGGGAGGGATCGAGCCAGGGTTTCCGCGTACGCCGATGACATATCTGCTTTTGTGTCGTCCCGCAGAGACATTGAGGTGGTACTGAAGGCGGTTGATCGGTACGAAAAGATGACAGGGGCCAAGATAAACCGCGACAAGTCGTCCGGCTTGCGGTTAGGTATCTGGAAGGGGGTCGATCTTCCGGGCCGCTTCGGTTGGACGGACGGTCCTGTCCGCATTCTTGGAGTGTGGTTTGGACCCAACCTCCAGCTGGAGAAAAATTGGTCTGAAGTACGATCAAAGGTCGATTCTGCCAGCCAGACTTGGCATCGACGGAGGTTGTTCGTGAAGGGCAGGGCGGAGGTGTGTGCTACATACATTTTCCCGATTGTCCTTTATCGATTGTCCGTACTTCCTCTCTGTGACAACCATAGGAAGCCGCTCAAGCGCTCGCTAACCTCCATTTTATGAGGAGACGCGGGAATCAAGTTGACAGACCAGTCTGTGCACAACGTCCGTGTCATGGGGGGCTGGGAATGCCACACTTGGCGAGCCACAAGCTCGCCTCGAAGTTGGCTTTCCTACGCCGCGCATTGACAGGAGATTCGATTATGGCGGGGATTGTTAGGGACGCGTTCCCTTCCCTTACTATCAGTCCTCCATCTCGCGGGTTGGGCGCTATCGTAAGCCCTGGGATCAATCGTTATTTAGTGAAGGGGGCCGCGAAGGATCCTCTACGTGAGCGGCTCGACTTGTCGGAGGAAAAGGTTTGCACTTTCTGGTCTTCTGAGTTTTCGCTTACCTGGCGATTGATTCGGAATCGGCTGCCTCTCAATGACAAGGTCTTCATATGGGGCTTGGCGGATTTGCCAGACTGTGTGGCTTTGGTCTGAAAGCTTCGCATGCCTTCTACCATTGTCCCTGTGTCCACCCCTTATGGGACCATGTCGGCGAGTTGACGGCTCATCTCGTTCCCGAACAGCTCGGGCTCATTGATCGCGTATACGCGTGTGACAATGTGTCGCCACCGTACTCCGGGGTGAAACGAATGGTGTTTCTCACGCTGCAGCCCACGGCCCGAATGGTGATTTGGACGACGCGACAGGAGGAAGTCTTGCAAGTCAACCGTCTTTCTCATCAGGATCTAATACGATTCTTTGAGCATCAGCTCAAGATGAAGATTAACTGATAGAAAACGATTGCACTCGTGTGATGAGTGCTCTTCATCATTGTCGCTCTTAATTTGAATATCATCCAGATAAGCCGGCGCGAAATTCTGGCCCGTGAGCATTGTGTCCATCGTTTGCTGAAAAATTGCTGGTGCAACTTTTACTCCGAATGGTAGTCTGTTGAATTTGTACAACCCTTTGTGCGTATTAATGCAAAGGATTTTCGTACTCTCTTCTTGTACTGGGATTTGTAGATAAGCCTCACTAAGATCTATTTTTGAAAATATCTTACCGCCTTTGAGCTTTGTAAATATTTCCTCTGGGCTCGGTAATGGGTAATGATGGTTTTTTATAGCCCCGTCGAAAAATCTGCACATACGCAGATTTCTCAATTGCGTACACACTGTGCGAGTCCACTTGTATGAAAAAGGGGTGGACCCCATAACAGAAAATATCGACAGATATGTTACTCCAAATGAAATATGCCGAAACGCTCCAAAAGCGAAGATGACAAGAATTTGAGCGCATGAATAAAAAAAAAAACATTTTTTTGAATTCATTTAATTCCAGTTGTGTTCATTACATTCACTTACGTTCTTGGGAGAGGCGTGACGTCATTTCTTGTCCCCCTCTCAGCTATGAGTAAATAGCAGAACCGAATGAATTTTCTATCTATATGTGTCAAACGATTGAGGGGATGGAAAAACTCCAAATTCAAAAAAAACTTTAGAGAGTGTTGAGGCTCCGTCGGACTATCTTGCCCAGGAAACACCACTGCCATACATGTGGTGCTCATACGACCACAGGTCTCAGGTTAAAAATGTAAGTTTCTAGAGAAAATACGTGATTTTTTCTCTCTAGGCAATATAATTTTATGAATTTTGATTTAATCAAACGTATTCTATCATTTTTTTTTAAATGACATGCCTCCTTTAGGCGTAGGCTATCCATAAACTCTGCAAAATAACTTTCTTAATTATCAATAAATTACCATGCATTCTTGGTAAAGGTCGGGGTTCAGAGTTTTTCTTTCTCTTAGACTGGTTGCCATCTAAGGCTATAGAGCCTAGTTTACTCTTCTATTTAACTCATAGTTATGGAAAGAAAAGACAGATTCATGAGAAACAAGAACACTTTTGAGAAAGTAAATGCAGCAGACTTGTCTGGAATTACATTTTAATCACTGACAGCCAGTAAACTACCTGTACATCTTCCATACTTTACTTTTTCTGTAAAGAAGAATGTTTCTTCAAATTTCTTACTTAGCTGATTTATAAAATTCTTGTTGGGGCAAATAATTTGTTTTACATATCTTAATTTTTTCGCTGTAACTTTGAAGCGTTTCTTTTATCGCCATTTTTTCTACATAGCCTTCAGGAAAAATACATTTACAAATGCTAGCCAGATATTTTCAAATTTTATTTTGATTTTTTTTTTTAATTCAGGTTTACAATGGACTACAACAACATTGGCCATATTAAGCAGATTGTGCATTACTGGAAACTATGGGATCATCTACCTACATACCTGTGAATTGTACCCAACATGTGTTAGAAACGGTGCACTTGGATATCTCTCTGCTTTTGCCACAATGGGTGGTATTACAGCTCCATACATTATGATGATAGTACGTATAGTTCTACCCACATTACGTGGCTACAGTAATAATACACTGAAAGTTAAAATGGGAATATGATGTTTATGTTCTTTTAATTTGCCTCATTTTTCTTATCTACACTACGGCGTGTCTCAATGTTTTCACAATAAAATTGGTATTAACAAAATGAAGTCGATAAAGTTCTCAGGATATATGTATATGAGCAATATATCGTGTGAATTTCATCTTAAAATTGGTTTTTAAATGTTTATTATGAAAAGGAGGAAACATTAATTTTTAATTATAAATAAACATAAAGGACTATAGAAATAAATATTGGATTATTACAATATCCCATATATCTGAATAGGATACTGAATATTATCTGATGTTAATATGGCTCCTTGACACACTAAAACCTTCATAAGTCTGTCATTGATTTGTTTAACTTTTCAAATCTTTTATCTTTAACATTAATTGCAGTGGGCTTTATTGCTTCCGAAAATATTTTCTTTAATATGTTCCTATGTCTTTTATGGAGACACGGTGGAGTAATGGTTAGCGGCTCGAATTTAGGAAGCGGAGAGCTGAGTTCGAATTCTTATCAAGTTCATTACATTAACTTACCTACCAATACCCTTAGAAAATGTATGAATTTGTCTCTTCTCTCCCGGCTATGAGTAAAATAGAAGGACAGATTGGGTCTTTGGGTGACAACTAGTCGAGGAGAAGGAAACTTTAAATTCAAAGGTACAGGCTAGAAGAAGGTAACTTATAAAACTAATCCACCTTGCATGTCAACTCGAAGAAATCGCACATTGCCAAAACTGGCTTTCCTACTTGGAGCCGTGACAGAAAATAATGAACTCCTTGGGCTTAGTACAATAGTTCAACTAAACACAAGAATGAGGCACAGCACGCGGACCTCGTTGATTTCTGATCTTTAGATGTCTTTGTCTTCATTGCCTATCGTCCACGGGATGAAGGTATTGTAATGTTTTTTGTTTTTATTTTTTTTGTTTTTTTAGAATAACTAAGAAAATTGATAATGTTCTTTCTGATTACTTCTCATATTTATGGCAACTACAATATTCACCATAAGGAATGTTTAGTACACTCAAACATAAGCAACGAGCAAATAATACCATGATTTCTCAGTCGCATACAAGCTAACACAGCTCTTGGACAAGCCTACTCGATTTTTTTGATAGAGCTAGTTATAATGCTAACTTCATAGACCTCTTCCTGACCTCTTGTCCTGATTAATGTTTCACTGAAGCGTTACCTCTGATGTGTACCTCAGATCACTCACTGGTGAATGTCAAAACTGATACCAAACCGAAGGCTTTCTCCGATGTCTAATTTCATAGGACAGACTACAGATACACCAAAATTGATTGGGATCGCTTCAAATTACATTGCTGAAGCATATCTCCCAGGTACTTTCAGAATAGACTATTTCATTTCCGAATAGGTCCTTCCTAACAGGGAAAGTTTTTGTCAAATTAAATGTACCAACAGATGACTGAATACGCTGCGGTCATAGTACACCGTAGCCACTGCTATCATCTCGAACTGAAGGAGTGGTATAACAGAACCCTTACCGCTTTCAAAACTTGGATCCTTGCAATTCTGGAAAACTAAATATAAGATTCTCTCTAGAGGAAAATTGCCTGTTCCTTCAATTATAAAGGTTCCCTGAGGTAATCTCCTCCCCGTTAGATAAGATTAAGATCTTTGCAATAACCTTTACTTCTAACTTCTAGCTAGACGACAATAGCCATCCCCAATCTCACCAACCCGACTCGCCGAACACAAACTTTGCAATATCTGTCTCGACTCTGGAAGTTTGCAGACATAACAAACATCACTCTCCGAAATCTACTGACTTGGGTAAAACTTCTATAGTTAAAAAAACTTAGCCAAGAGCCATCACCGATCTTGGAAAAATTGTTTCACTACTTCGTGAAAGAAAAATGTTTCCCAGAGAGATGGAAATGATCAACTGTATATTTTGTTTACAAGAATCCGAATGAGCTCTCATCCTCGTTGCAATATCGCTACATCCGCCTCCTCAGTGTCGCCAGCAAGTTTTTTGAGGCTATCAAAAAGAAGGTTGTCTATTACCTGAACAGAAACAATCGCCTGAGCGAAAAAACAGTATATAATTAGCTCCTCTCGGCTCACTGCTGATGCCTTCACTGTCATTAAGCATAGACTTATTGTAACACGTGATGATAAATCCACCATGAGATCAATCACTTTAAATATATGGAAAGTTTTTGATGTGGAATAGGTCAGGTTCTACACAAACTCCCCATTGCGTAATAAAATCTGTAATAAAATTAAAATCTGTCATAATAATATTTACGTAATAAAATCTGTCATAATAAATGTCTGTTTGTAAAAGGAAATGTAGACTGACCTTTTTTCTATTGACTAATTAGCTTCACTTCACCACGCATTAATGCAAACACTTGAGGGCATCTTTCATACATTTTTACAAGTAATTTTACAGCGTTAGTTAGCTGAAGAGCATAATTTTACTTTCCACAGTGGCTTTTGATTAGATTTTCTCTTCTTTCCCGTTTTCGATAAATGTTAAACCCTTTTCAATTATTCTAAATATGATTGTCTGCACAGTTATAAAATCTAGAGCCATATTCTTCGGGTACATATGTAATTATGGATACATCGAAGATGCAGATCAGAAAATAGCGTGAAAATAGACTTTAATAAAAGTTAAAATTAATATATTTTTCTAACTGATACATTATTTTTAAGGACTTTATAAAACAGACTTTATAAAACATGTCCAATTATTTTAAGAAATTTTATGGATAGAAAAAAATAATACCCAGTTTCGTTAGCTTTTGAATGTTAATAAGAAATAATCACCAATGAACACAGTACCACTATTATTAATATTTGGACTAGTATTTCTTTCATTTTATTTCTGTTGCCATTTTTATATCGTAAGTAAACAGTGCGGTTGTGAAATAAAGAATAAATGTTCGGAGAATTTTGAAATCTTATTTTTTGTCCTTGGTAACCAACACTTATGTGGTAGATTAGATTACGAATGCCAATTAGTAGACGTTATCCAGTAATCATGATCTTTAATTGACCGAGTGTCAGTACGCCGCCATCTTTTAATATTTGCAATTTACACCGAGAGAATTATATATTTCTAAGAAATTTCGTAAAATTTTCCCGCTTCGTTAAAAGAGAACAAAGACAGCGATTCTGTTTTCCTAACTATTCTTCTTTCTTCCCTGGTTGAACAACTTCACAGAAATCCTGATTCTGTTACTATTAAAGAGCCCTTTGTATATTCATGTCACGTAATGAATTAACAGCGATTTTCAGAAGAGGTGTACACCTTTGCTGTGTATTATCATTGTAAATAGCTTGGAACGTACTGGAAAATATTTGGAAATTTCTGCAAGGAATCTAAATGATAGTAGATAAATAAAAAGATAATCTCAAAGGAGTAGAGAGAAATAAGAGATCATCACAAAAAACAGAATGATAGAGAACTATAGAGGAAGAAGCTTTCCATCTTTTGTTTTATTTATAAATATTCCATATAGTTCTTCAGACTTGTGTTGCAAATTCATTAACGTATAAGTGTTTACATTCATTGCGTTAAACGCTGAATCGGAAAATATCCTTTACAATTAAAGGATTTTCTGTATAGAAGACTTAAAGTAACAAAAACAGATTTTTATCTCTTGTGCCAAATCGATCTTATGCAATTCTTTAAATTATTCAGAAAAGAATAAAAATAATTCCACCAGCAAAATAGGTGAATTTATTCTTTCTTTTGAATGTCAGAAATTAATCTTAATTGGTTACGCTACTTACCTAATAGATCATAATTTAATATTTAAGTGTCTTTTTCTCCATTATCTTTCCGGGAAAATGACAATATTAAATCTGAAGTATTTAAAAAATGTATCTCTCATCCTAAGGGGGTAGACATTAACAAAATGCATTTTCTTTTGTATTTGATAAACCGTCTCTTACCAACACCGACAGAATGCACAACTTAATTGCTCAATTCTTCTGATGATTGCTAGAAAGATTAACACGTGCCTCTGGCCTAATGGTAGCAAATATTCTGATGTTGCTTCGTAATTTTAAAAATTGTAAATATACTTGTATATTATTCCATAGAGATATAGTATAATTAATACTGAATCAATAGATGTTCAGAAAATTAATAAATTTAATTAATTTGTGTGTATATGTGCGTGTGTGTTCAAACTTTGCTACATGTATATATGTGATTTTTGTACCTTGAATTTTGAAGCCATAATACTTATATAAAGAATTATCAGTAATTTTTTATTCAAAGAAACTTAAAACGATTTCACCTGTTTATGCAGCGTCATCTTGCAGATGGAAAATTGGGTGACAGTTTACCTCTGTTGACGATGGGATTTGCTTGCATCTTGGCTGGCGTCTTGTACGTCTTTCTTCCTGAAACCAATAAGAGACGCATGGAGGATAATTTTGACGATGTACACGAAGAAAAGTTTAAGTCGATTAGGTAACAATATTTTGATTATTTTATGAGATTAGTTACACAGAATAGAGGATCAACGTAACGAGTTCAAATTCAGACTATTCATTTCGCAATAATAACCTCGGGAAAGGTAGGAATCTTTTGTTTTGTAATGACATCCTACGATGGTTTATGAAATAAATATAGAGGCATTTGTAAACAAAACATTCTCTCACAAAAATCTAATCTTTCTAAGGTAATTGTAACAAATAGTTGTTACCTCCATAAGTTTCTTGTAGTGTGGATTTAAAAGTAACTAGAATACCGTTTTTTATTTTATTTATGAATCATAATTTTTAAGTTAATAATAGAATAAGTTCCTTGTACATTAGACGAACATAAAATATCCGTGTAAATGCCCTGCACCTTTAGATATTTGGGCTTAACAACTGTAACAACATATTGCAATAATCATAGATATAGAGGGTGATTGAAAAGTAACTCCTTATTTTATGTATGATGAACTCTCTCGTCTAACTATAATCATTACAAGACTGGAGAGTCGATCGTACATAAAATACGAAGTTACTTTTCAATCACCTTATAAATGCAGGTCATTATTTAAAGAAGTAAGAGGATGGCAGTTTTTCTTCTTGTGCGTTGGATATTTGCACCGAATAGGTGTCTCAAAGCTCAGGAGGGACAGAAAAATCAGCAGCACCGGAAACTAAACACAAAAGGAGCCAAATACAGAATCAAGCCGAACAGAACACGAGCAGGACTTTCATACGTAAAGCACGAACGTTGCCGAGACACCGGAAACACAAGCCAGGGTGAATGAATTTCAGGTGACGTTGTGTAATACTCCGCCTTTAATCCCAGCCCGAACTTCTTGCCTAGCAAAACGAATCATTCGCATAAATAACACCGCTCATTTTACTGTCCGGACGATTTCGTGGGAGAGCTTGTAGATTTTATTTCTTCATATCCAAAAGTACCGGGGTTCGCACCGACTCTGTTTCGGTAGGACAGCCATATGCTTTCTTTTGACAGACAACACACTCGACGTCGTCTCTTTGACCGGAGAGTGATAAAACTGTAAATTTTCCACACTGCCAAAAACAAAAGAATTTTAACATTTAATGAATTTGAGAAATTCAATTTTCTGAAAAATTGTTTTAATACAACGATAAGAATTTCAAGAGATAGTAACATTAAATATCCGGTCAATGAATGCCTAATATTTCTTGTATGGAAACGGCTATTTTGCCATTAACGTTACAACAATTTGCTAATAGTTTCTATACTTGTTAGGTAAGGAATCTATCACTGTCGTTTTTATTATTAACGTAAATACAAGTGATTTTCCAAGATTAAGAAAAAAATCCAGTGAAATAGCATCCTAATAAATGTTTTGAATTAATAAGTATTTACAAAGATTATGATTTGCTAAATCTAATTTATGCATTTTCTTTATTTCAGACGCAAAAAGGATCAATTAGAAGTTCAGGTTGCCTTGAATCCGTCAACATGACGAATTTACAAAAAAATTCGATATCAAAATATTTTGTTTTGAATGAATATGAAATGAAAAAAAAACGAAAAATACAAAAAAATATAGTAAATATAAAAATACAAAAAATGTAGTAAATATAAAAATACAAAAAATGTAGTAAATATAAAAATACAAAAAAATGTCGTAAATATAAAAATACAAAAAATGTAGTTAATATAAAAATACAAAAAATGTAGTAAATATAAAGATACAAAAAATGTAGTAAATATAAAAATACAAAAAAATGTAGTAAATATAAAAATACAAAAAAAATGTAGTAAATATAAAAATATAAAAAAATGTAGTAAATATAAAAATACAAAAAATGTAGTAAATATAAAAATACAAAAAATGTAGTAAATATAAAAATACAAAAAAATGTAGTAAATATAAAAAACAAAAAATGTAGTAAATATAAAATACAAAAAAATGTAGTAAATATAAAAATACAAAAAATGTAGTAAATATAAAATACAAAAATGTAGTAAATATAAAAATACAAAAAAAATGTAGTAAATATAAAATACAAAAAATGTAGTAAATATAAAAATACAAAAAATGTAGTAAATAGAAAAAATAGAAAAAATGTAATAAATATAAAAATTAAAAAAACCGTTCTAATGAAATTAAAGAATAAAAATTTCAAAAACGAAATAATGGTGACTATTTAAAATCAATAGAAAATTAAGACAAAATTAAAAGTAATGTTCTTTTCAGATTTTGAAAGTTAAGTGAGAAAAAGCGAATGCGTACACACACAGAGAAAATAAAATAACCAGATCTTCGATTTTTGTCCTTGGTAGCGTTTCGGCAGAGTAAATTCGGCGACACTTTTCGTCTTCTTGAAGTCACCAAGTAGCAAGTAGATATTTCTAAGACGAGTGTATCAAGTGATTTTTCGGATTCCTAACTTAATATTTTTCATGTCCTCTCAGTTATTCAAGCTTAGGTCTTGAGGACTAAAATAATGATCTGATTGGTTCATTATTCAGTTTCTTTAGTCCCGTGCTCTTATCCCTTATGTCTGCAAACTGAATGGATTCCATGAAGAACATTTGACGTCAGATAACCGCACACGGCCATTATTTCGAGTTCTCAGGGAGCCCCTCTGATTGTTTGTTTATTGCTTGAATCTATACGTGGGTAGCTCACAATGTAATAAACATGTCATATTTTAATTCATCGAATGCAAGAAATCAAGTAAATCAAGTAAATCATGTAGTAATAAGAAGTGGATTTTTAATAATTTTAAAATAAATATCATTTATAAAAATATGCATTCTTCAAATGAAATTTTGTTGGTATTCTTATTTACTTTAAAAATATTTGTTTTAATTCATTAGAGACATTTTATCATCATCTTATCACCTCAAGCAAGGCAACACGCTGGGGTTACTGAGTGTGAAAGGATATGAAAAAATATTATTAAGGCGTAAGAATAATAAAAGAACAAAAAGCAAGATGACAGAAGATAACGATTGACATTGTTTTTAAATCTTTGATGATCAAACTTGACTGGAAAACAATAAATCGGAAGAGAGAATTGCAACAGAAAACACTGTTAGCATAAAACTTATGGTTACATCATGCTATTTCAACTGTAAAATGATGAGATCATGCGGCCAATCTAGTACGGCGCTTAACCCTGTGTTAGTCACATCAGGTTTCTAAAAGTCATTATACAACCTAATACAAAAATCCTTATAGTGTTAAAATTATGTAAGATATTGTCGTACTGTTGCAAAAAAAACATAATGGGCAATCCTGTTACAATATACATTAAATCAAAACTTGAACTGAAGATATAATTATTTATTGAAATAAAAATTATAATAAACTTGCTGGATAAACATATATTGTAAATTGTAGGTGAAACACACCAATACAATAATAGAGAAAAGTTTTATTCCTCAAAAATAGCCGCAATATATTTTAATAAATAGATAGATATTACATTAGCTGAACTCATAATTACAAGACCGAAAGAGTAACATATTGTGGAGTTGAGCATCAGACATTCTAATGAGAAGCAGACATGTTTCCCTGTAATGAGTAATAGAGAGCTGTTTTGCAGGTTATATATGTATATATATATATAGTTTATGAAAAACTAGGTAATCCGTATGGGTAGACCCAAGGAGGATAAAATCCAGAGAGCTCAATGTAAATCCAGAGCAAATAATTAAAATAAAAACAGATCACTTTAAGGTTCCATGTATGGAACCTTAAAGTGGTCTATTTTTTTATATATATATATATATATATATATATATTCAGGAATTATTCACACAAAAAACAAATGCAAAGGTTAATGATTTAATTGGCGAGAAATCCATCATCGCAAACAATTCAAATAATATACAAAAAAGCTCCGAATCCGTTATGAATGAAATGATCCTTGTTTCCATAAATTTCTGCCGTATTAGTTCTTATTTTTACTACAAGCTTTCGTCTGTTCCTACAGACATCTTCAGGTATAGAATAGATGTTGTTCTTGTTTTTCTTAGTAATAAGAGGACAACGAAAAATATATGTATTGTTGTATCCGAAAATGCTATTGAAAATGAGTTATTGTTTTTGGAGCGCGCAGTAGCAACGCTGAGTTTGATTTTAAATTTTTAAAGGTTGTGCGTTCATATAAAATATGGTGATGAACGAATTTTTTTACAGGTAAATTTTCTGTCAAAGTGGCATGAACTATATTGTTCAATAATTACAGTAATGTCGCACTTATTATCCAAAAGTCGCACTTGGATCAGTTATTAAATTATTTGCGATGATGGATTTCTCGCCAATTAAATCATTAACCTTTGCATTTGTTTTTGTGTGAATAATTTATGAATTTGTAAATTGATTGCACGTTTATCGTAATATATATATATATATATATATATATATATATATATATATATATATATATATATATATATATAAAAAATTAACTAGTCGGTTGGGGCTACAGGACACCCGAAGAAGACAAAACGACGTCTGCCTCTTACAACTGCTACACACTCTCACTGAGTCAGAAGAATAGTTGACGGGAACAAAAGGAAAGATTTGCCAATTAGGAATTACGAGTGCTGACAAAATTCTGATCTGACAAAACATCCCATGTAACTAACGCAGAGTTAAATACATAGAGTTTAAGTACCATAGAGAAGAATTCATCAGAAGAATTACCATGAAATTATATATAGAAAAGGTACAAGGAATGTATATTACCGCGGTGGAAAAGTGACTGAAGCCGAGACTCTAGGTCATGTCTAATGACATTACAGATTTTTCTTTGGATTTTATCCAGAATCTTCCAAAATAACGCACTCTTACCAAGTGTAAAAATAGAAACATTACCCAATGATTTTTACAGATTACCAAAAGTTATAGGTTTATGCTATTTAATTCAAATTTTATTTATTTATTCATCAGTGAATAAACTTCATAGTGATTTTAATGGAAAGAAACTCTTTGTGAAAGTATTTTTTCATGTTAGTTGCACCTCTTATTTTAGTTGACCAATTTGTAATAATAAATCGTTTATGTCCCTAAATCTTTTACGTGTTTCTAAAACTAAATCACCGAAGATTTTATATCATTAAAATATAATTTATATCCACGGAGAACATAGGAAATGAGACCCTAAATATGTAAAACTTCATAAATAAAACAATAAATAAGTTGCTAATTTTAATAAAATATAATCTATAGTTTTAATTTCACAGAGAAAAATTCCTAATGTATATTTATTAGCAAAACTTTTACTTCTAATTTTACAGCATGATTTATAAAATTCTTCCTGATCTTGGATCTAGCTTAAAACTGGATGGAAGTGATATTCTTTGTAAAATTTCTTTTAATCATGTCCCAAAATCTGATTTAAATTTATAACATTATTTTCATGCATATTAAACTGAGAATATATATACAATAAAATCAAAATTTAACTTCAAAGAAGACATTTAAATTAGTTTAAGTACGCTTTTGAGTTTCATATTTTTACTTACTTCGTAGAGGTATGCATAATTCCTAACTTAAAAAGCATAAATGTCATATTATAATCAATTTAACAGCACTAAAATAGCATCATTTTAGTAAATTGATAACTTTAAACATACAGAGCAGAAGAAAAACAGTTGAAAACATTTTTAAACCATAGTAATATTTAATATAAAATACATACTTAGTAAGTACGCTCTCTCTCTCTCTCTCTATCTATCTATCTATCTATCTATCTATCTATCTTATATATCTCTTATACATTTTACAGATATTTATAAAAAGATAATGAAAGGTTTTCGGTCAGAAAAGAAGAAACAATTAAAAAATTCCGATTTTAAGTTCTTTTGAGAAGTTGATCGGGCCAAAAACTTTTCAACAATCTCTCGTATTCGCATACACATCAACGTATACAGCCAAGCACAGCCAACTGTTTTGTTTTTTGTTTTTTGGTTTTTTGGGGGGTTGTTATTTTTTTTTCAATATACACGCAAACAAAACCTTCACAGGTGAACTCGCGATTATTCTTTTTATCGTACACTACATTTGATATACAACATAATTCGATCAATAATAACATCTGTTTCGTTTAAGGATTTCAAGCTTAATAAAGAAATGAAAATAACAGAAAATCAGCGGCAGGGCCAGTACTAAGTATTCCCTGAATATCCCGTCTGAAGGTGAGAAAACCTGCTTACGGGTGCTCAGGAGAGAAAAGCTTCAACAGGGCTCTGGGAACTCAGACACCTGTCACAACATTTACTTTTTACTACTTATGATAAATTGTCAATCATCAATTATATATATATATATATATATATATATATATATATATATATATTAAGCACCCCCAAAGCAAGGCGTGATGCCACTAACACGCAGGGTGTTACAGAGAGTGCGAGATAGAGTAAACTGGCGTGATAAAGAAAAGGGTGAAGAGAAGAATAGGGAATAGATCAAGGCATCTGGAGATGTCGATTGACATTACATTTGAATTGTTGGATATTATAGCTATCAGGGAAACAAGTAATAAGAAGGGTATTCTACAGACGGGAGGTGCGAGACATGAAGCTATTAGAGTAGAAGAGACTACTACATTTAACTGTTTCGACAGTGAAAGGGTGGGATCGAGATGTCAGCCTAGTAGCTCGTTTAAATTCATGCAGTCTGAGAACTAGTGAAAGTAGTTCGTCGGAGCAGCTAACGTGAAAGTATTTATAGAAAAGAGAGATGGAGGCGAAAACACGTCTGTGAGAGAACGACTGTAGACGAGATGCTAGATCAGGGCCAATCACATTGCATATCCATCTCTTGATTTAATCGAGGGCTTTAAGACGAACAGCGGGAGCCCCAGGCCATATATGACAGCAGTATTCCATGCAAGGGCGAATGGTTGATTTATAGATTTGAAGGAAGGTCTCGGGTGAGAAAAACTATCTGACGCGACACAGGGAACCAACTTTCCTTGTGGTAGATGAAGCTTTTGATTCAATGTATTTGTCCTATCTCAAATCAACGAACAGTGTGAGACCAAACAGTCGCAAAGAGGTGCTGTCGTGGAGTTGAGTATCGGACATTCTAATGAGAAGCAGGCATGTTTCCCTGTAATGAATAATAGAGAGCAGTTTTGTTTTTGAGGCATTAAAGTTAACCAGCCAATTCCTGTCCCACTCCACAACCGATTGGATGTCCTTTTCGGGACAAACGGCCAGGTTAGTTTTGTCAGTGATACCAGATTTTCTTTTGAGGCAAGTGTAAATAGTAGTGTCGTCTGCATAGATGCCTACTTGGGAACTGATGACATCAGGAAGATTGTTAATGATAAGGAACAGAGTAGGGCCCAGGATAGAGCCTTGGGGAACACCTAGGTTCGTGGGAAAGGAACTGGAAGAGAATCCGTTAAGGATGACATTCATTACACGATTTGATAGGAATGATCGTATTAAGTCAAATAATCGACCTAAAATTCCATATCCCTGAAGCTTACGAAGGAGGCCGACATGCCAAACCCTAACAAGAGCCACGGCACGAGCTTAATAAAAATACAGTTTTAAGGTATGCTATATTTATAGATTAAAGTGCTGAATATCAGGGATAGTGGGTATGTAGATATAAAAGTGGACATTGAGGTCAACAACCAGCAGCGACTGTTTCATGCTTAAACGCAATTGTCAGGCCATGTGCGTTGTGTTTTGGCTCGACTATTTATATATGATGGTCAGCCATGTAAACGACAACGCACATGGCCTGACGTTTGCGTTTAAGCATGAAGAAGACTATCGCCGCTGGATGTTGACCTCAATGTTCACTTTTATATCATATATATATATATATATATATATATATATATATATATATATATATATATATATATATAATATTAGTGGTAAATATACACATACATATGCAAAATATATAAATATATATACATAGGTGCATACACATACATGTATATTTTTTGAATAAAATTTCCAAGAGGATAGAATCTAGGTAGAACTCAATGTCTAGGACAGAGTAAGGATATAATAAAAAGGCTTAAACACTAATATTCCATGGTCATAATTTATTCCATTGGAATCGTAAATACGATCCAATTCATCAGACCTACAAATTCAAAAAAGAAAACAGAAAAAACAACTTGACAACTGAATAAATTCTGTCATCTTATTTTATTGTCTCAGAACTGCACACATGACTTTTGTATTTCTTCTTTGGGCAATAATTAAATTTATTTAATTATATTAATATTATATTAAATTTATTTAATTATATGGTTGTAGTAATGAAATAAAATATAGAAAGTATGCTTTTACTCTAAATGGATAGGTGTCGTGCTTCATCCATCCTCCAAACGAAAAGCTTTTTCATTAACGCTAAAATCAGAATATTTCAAATTGCCTAAAGAAGAAATACAAGTCATGTGTGCAGTTCTGAGACAATGAAGTGAGATGACAGAATTTATTCAGTTGTCAAACGCAACGCAACGCAACGTAAAAGAACCAACAACAGGCTTAAAGATGTATAGTTTCCTAACAAAGAAATTATTCTTACAACTATACAAATATTAACTCATTAAGGAAGAGGCCACTTTCATTGAAATTAAATAATGGATCCTATAACAGAACTCTTATCTTATTTGTCATTATAAGATGTTTTACAAAAGATATTTTGGTAATTCTCCAAAATAGTTTTCATGATTGTTTCTTTGAATAGCTTTAACGTCGATCCACCTCTGAATAAGTGTATTTTTCTGTTTTAAGGTAATTTTTTTTCTTTACATATCAGTTGATGAATCTCAAAATAAACCAATTTTTACTGAATAAATTTCTTTTTGAGTATTTTATTTTTTGGAACATTTTCTTATCACTAATCTTATATAATGTTCAATTAATATATTTTTGAATATTTTATTTATTATTTAACATAATCACGGAGGGAGTGTGTACTCTGTAGAAGCACAGAACTTTTTTATAGGTATTCTCAGAATGGCTTACATTTATTTCCTCTAGGAAGATCCAAAAATCTTTCAAAAAATTCAAATAATCTTCAACATCTCATAAGTTAGTTCCATATTAAATAATTGTGTTGTTATTTGTTCATCTTCGTCTTATACTTTTATCTCTAATTTCTACAGAAAATACCCACACGTCGAGATTTCGTTGGAAAATATTATCATAGAATGTACCTATTATTGTGAAAGCAGAGCACGGTATAAAACAAGAATCACGAATAAATACTGCCAAACTATTAGAAATCCTCTTCCCAATCTACGAGAAAAGTCTTTGGAAAGAGATATGTCGCGACATTGACTGAAACAACAACAGTAATTTTCTACTTGCAATTTCTTGTTCAACATTATTATTTAGTACAATTTGCTGTTTCACATTAACAAATGAGTCATTTGATGCAGTCTTCTGGTGTTAAAAATCGGTATAAAAATTGCTGGGAATTATGGAACTTGCAATTTTCTACTGCAAAAGGGGCTATGCCGCTTTTATGTTGACAACGCGCGAAATTGTAGAAGAAAATGTCTTCTTTGAAATGTTTAAAACACAAGTTAGTCGCAAAAAATTTGATTATTAATCTTAAAACTCTGTGATTTATTAATCTTAATTTGATTATGTCCTATCTTGAAGTTCAAATAACTAAAGAATGTTTTCGTCGGATCTTATTTATCTCCCTCGGTTGCGGTTTGTCTTCAATTAATAAGCAACTTTCATGGTTATCCCAGTGAAATGAAGTTTATAGATTCATTACAAATTCAGAATTTGTTATGAATACTACATTCATAACAAATTCTGTAAGTATGGGAATCTGAATGAATAATGGAAACGATTTTATGAAAAAATAGTTAACTTAAATTATAAGAATTATCTCATGATATCAAGAGATTTTTCTCAATTCGACAACGGAAATCAGAAATCATGATCAGAAAAGGCGGGGCTAAATAATACGCGTGATATTCGAGATTACATTTTTTTTCTGAATCGTTAGCACTTATCCGAATTTGTGCATTGCATTGACTATTGGAAGTGCCGAAAGAAGTTTCAATAAACTAAAATTAACGGAAACTTTAAATTAACTGCGACCTACAAATAAACCAATGATTCCTCTTGTAAAGTCTCTATCCTTCGATTGTGATAAAGTAGCGAGATCCTAGGTATGACGATAAACTACACCCGGCATCAAGGCCTCTGATCAGGAGATTGAAAGTTTTGAATAGCGTAAAACCACCTTTTAATTGCTGTTGATCCGGGTGGTAGCACCTGTTAGGGCCCCAGCTATCGGCAAATAGTGAACCACCAAACAAAACATAGTATGAAAGTTTAAAAATACATTTTTATAGTAAAAATACATTTTTATATAAAAAAAGGGACCAACAATACATATTTATAATAAAATGACCAATAATACCTTTTAAAGCAAAATGAACAGCAATATATTTTATCTGTAGTTGAAGGCATAAGATTGCGTTCAAAATATATTTAGTTGAAGCCATAAAATTGTCTTCAAATTCTTTAGATTTAGGTATTATATAAACCATAGAGGTTGATATGCCGCTAAAATAAATCAACCAAACGAAATAGTGATTGAATTTTACTCTTGCTACGCCTAAAGAAAATTTATGTAAAATTATTTTCTATTTTTCGTAAGCAATCTGCAGATAAAATTGCCATGGACTGCATTTAATAAGTTCAGCACTTATGCTATTTTCTCCTGCACTTGAACTAATTTCCTTATAAAAGTCGCCAATGCGCCTTCTGAAATTGATGAACGTTATCTCACTAG